ATAGAGAAATTTTTATTTTATTCATATTTTTCTGACTATTGTTTTATAAAATATTATCAACATCCTTTAATAAATAATCCTACAAAAGTCGTTAAAGTGTGAATTTAATATATGTATATATTGAGAATAATAAAAATATTAAAGTATTTTTATTGAAAGGATTTTTAATGTTTTATGAAATATATTATTTGCTTCATATTATACAACGTTGTCATATAAAGATTTTACATTCCTTTCAAAGGTTTTTTTTATAATAGAAAAAATTAGAATAGGATACTCTATACATTCTTTGTTAATTTGTTTACTCAATAAGCAACAAATATTTTTAAAAAGACAATTAATAAAGCTGCATTAAAAATCCATTTTTATTTTATATTAAATTTTTACAAGAGGATTTTTCTAAATTAACAATTGTTATAAAACTTCTAAAATACTTGATCTTAATACATTTATAAAGATTATTTAGAAATATCAAGTAATTTATGTTTTTATAATAAAAGGATTATTAAAAATAGAGATTACTTAAATAATTAATGGAAAAATATTATAACATAAAATATGCGTAAATTATTTTTGGTTTATTGCCACGATAAGGAGATATTAATTAAGAATGAAAAAACAAGAATTATGAAGTTTCAAATTTAAATTTTAAGAAATATAATTAATAGACAATGTAAAATAAATTTTATTATATATGTATTAATCATCATTATTAATATAATTAAATAAAATTATAATTCTTTCTATTTATTTAAATTTGAAAATAAATATATATAATCTTGTAATAATAATGAATTCATTATACTAAAAAAAAAAAAAAAAACACATATAAAATGTAAAAAATATATAAAATTTAATAAATATTTAAAAATAACAATTACTTCTAGAAATAGAAACATACATGTATACAAATTATAAAATATAATTAAAAATATGATATAGTTTATTTGAATAAAAGATGGATACTTAAGATGAACATAATTAATATTAAATGAAAAAAATTGAAAATGATTAAACTTTTTCTATATATTGATATTTATTTTGATACTAGTAATATAATATGAATTATGAAATTTTTAATGGAAAAATCGAGTTATTTATTCGATTTATGCTAAGCATATAATAGTAAAGTTATAGTTGAATAAATTTAGAAGTTTTGTAAATATATGAGAAAATTTTTTAAAAAAAGAAAATAATAACATAAAAATGTAATTTATTTTTTAAAGTATGATAAATATTAATATATAGAAAATATATTTTTATTATTTATTGAAAGGTAAATTAAAATATTCTAACGATCTTAAAACAATTGAAAATCCAATAATTTTCTATTGAAATGAGGCTTTATTATTAAAATTTTTTTATTGTACCTTTTTTTTCTTTAATTATTTATATTTGTTTTCTTGATTTAACATTCTATTGATTATTTTTAATTTTTTTTCTTATCGTCTAAAATTAAACTAATAGTTTTTTACATATAAAGGAAATATATTTTTATGTGTCTTATAATAATATAAAGAACATACGTTTACTTTTAAAATAGAAAAGATCTAATAAAAAATTATATTAAATATTCTTTTTTTTTTTTTTTATCATTCCTTATTCAATGCATATAATTTATGTCTAAATTTTAACAATACTTTTATAATATAAATATATAGATTTGATTATTTAAATAAAAAAATATGTGTTTGAACAACCAAATGGTGTATTATGATTTAAAACCATAAAAAATAACTAATATTTTATATAAGCTATATTTATTATTTTAATGTACATAAAAGAGAATTAATATTTTGAAATGATATTTTCTTTTTTTTCATGGATTGAATGATTTTAATTAAGAACAAAATATGTATGAACCTTAATTTTTTTTTTTGTTATTGTATAAAATATCATATTTATTTCATATTATAAATGAATTATTATAAAAATATTTAATATATACGCATATATATATATATTTATTTAAACTGATAATATAAAATTGTAAGTAGAACAAAATTAAGGCAAATTATATATATGAAATGCCTAATTTTAAAAAATTAAATTTATATATAAAAAATTTTCATTTTTCATTATTTATATATATTCGTATATGCTTATAATTATTTGCAATTTTTTTTTGATTTCCTTTGATTCACTATGAATTGAAATAGGTGCTTATATATAAAATATATTTAAATGTTTAAATAAGGTATAAATTAATAGAAAAAAATAAGACAATCTTTTAAATTAAAAAATAAAAATTGTTGTAGAACAAGAAAAATTTAGTAATTTATAAAAAAAAATTCTTAGTTTATAAATGATTGTGAAAATAATTACCTTTAAAAGTAAATTTATTTATTTTTTTATTCACATAATTAATAAACATAATCAATTTAGAATATGCTTTAATTTAATACAAAATGAAAAGAAAATTTTTTTCTTATTCAGAAACATTTAGATATTGTTTCTTCCTTATTTGAATGTTTTTTTATCACATATATATATAATTAAATTAAATATAACATAAATATCAAAAAATGATTATTCAATTTTAGCTTTTTGTAATAAGTATCAATTATCTGCGATAAATATCTTGTATAGCTTATCCTCTTTTTATGGGGACAATTCTTTTTTTTTTTTTTCAATTTTTTATAATTTATATTCTTTTAAAATCCATGTTTACAAAATTTTTTTTACATCTAAAATAAAAAATGGATGTAATAATAATGAAAAAAGTAAAAATAAAAAGTAAAGATTTTAAAGAAACTTAATAATATGTGGCAGAAAAATGCAAAATAGACGTTTTATTGAATTTTCAAAAAAATTTATGGCGCAATGAAAAGACATATTAACAAACAAAATATAAAGTATACTCTATTAATTTTTTTTATTATTATAATCCTATTATTATAAATGAATGAACTTTATAGGATTACATTGCATAAGTGAAATAAATAATATATTCCTTTTACATACTCTAAATAATAGTATTATAATATATTATTTTGATAATTCTAAACACTTAACAATATTATAAAATGTATTTATTTAAAATTTATCCTTATTTTTATTAAAGCGTAAATTTTCAAGGTAAAAAACTTTGAAAAGAAAAATAGTCTTTAAATATAGCAATTATTCATCAAAAACAAAAATTAAATCTAAGAAAAAAAATTGTATATTATTGTAAACAAATTCATTATTAAAAAAGAAAAAAAAATATATAATGTTTTTTTGTTTAACTAATACACTATTTACAATAAACTATTTTTAGCTATATTTTTATGGAAATTTCTTAAATAATTTAATTGCATAATTAATTTTTTGCATTATATAAGTATTCGAAAAAAATATTAATATTTTTTGGTGAATATTAATAAAAGGAATAAGAAATATAGACAAACATACAGTAACAAAAAAAAGATAAGAACAAGAAAAATAATAAGCATTATAATACTTTACGTTTTATAAAGAAATTAGTTGTGCAGAAAAAAATATAATCTGTAAAAAATTAATAATTAATTAAAAACAAATGACTTAAAAACTCCTTAAAAGGTACAAAATATTCTACAGTTACAATACTCTTTTAATTTTTTTTTCCTTTATATTAGAAATAGTAAATATATTTTATAATTGTGAATAAATTAAAATATTATGTATTTTTTTTTTAAAATGTATGTGCTTTATTAAGATACTGTTTAATTGATTTTATCTTATTTACGAAAGTTAAAAGTTTTATAATATGATATACACATATTTTTTTTTTTTACTTTTTTTTAAAAATAAAAATGAAAATTAAGAGTTGAATATATACATTAAACTTTTAATTTTTGAGAAATATCTTCTGCAATTATTGATGTAATAATTTTTATGATATGGAAATACATAAAAATATTTACAAATTAAAAAATTTTTTTTTTAATCAAAGATACCTAATTCAAAAATAACTTTTTGAAAATAAAGCATAATAATAAAAAAAAAAAATTTTAAAAAGAAAAAAATAAAAACAGTATAAACTTTTTTAATTAAAATATGTAAACATACATTATATTTTTTTTCATTTTTTAAATAAAAAAAAAAAGAAAAAAAAAAAAAAAAAACATGCTAACGTTAATACAACAATTTTGATGAGACAGAAATACATAAATATATTTATAAAATAAAAAGTATTTTTTTTTTAATTAAATAATTAATTCAAAAATAAAAAACTCTCAAAAAATATCTTATGCGATTGTTGATGTAATAATTTTTATGATATAGAAATACATTAATATATTTATAAAATAATATTTTTTTAATAAAAAATACTTAATTCAAAAATAATTTTTTGACAATAAAACTCAATAATAATTGAAAAAAAAATTAAAAAAAAAAAATAATAAAATAAAATATGGTATTCCTTTAATCAAAAATAATGAATTCAAAAATAATATTTTGAAAATAAAATTCAATAATAATTGAAAAAATATTTAAAAAAAAAAAAAAATATGTATTTTTTTTAATTAAAATATGTATATATGCAACTTCTTTTCTTTTTTTATTTCTTTTCTTAAAAAAACCTTCTAAAAAAAGGTTATCCATGTTTTTTGCACTAAAAAACTTGTTTAATTTGAAAAACTTGTAAAAATGTAAATTAAAAAAGTTGAATTACATTGAATATATAAAATTAAATTTATTAGAAATATAAAAGATTTAACTTTATAATGTAAAATAATTCTGCCACATGCAAATATGGATAAAAGAAAATAATAGTAAAACGTTATTATAAAATTTAAATAATATGAATTGTTCTTCCTAATTTTTATGTATATTTAATGATTATTTTAAAATTTTAAAAAAATTCACATAAAGAATGGTTATCAAATTTCTCTATTTTAAAAAAAAAAAGTGTATATTTTTTTTTGTTTTTTATTTATTTTATAATTATTATAATAATGCATCAATCTGTTGTAATATGAAATATTAATATGATAAAATTTTTAGTGAAAAATTTTAATATAAAATAATTTTCTAAAATGATATATCCCATTAAATATATCTTTATTTCTGCAGTACTTTTTGTTATAGTACGAAATGAATATCACTTTCAAAAGAATAACAATGTCAACCAATTAAGGAACATGATTGATAATGAAAAATTATATGAGGATTTAATAGAATTAGAAAGATTGATAATACAATCATTGGAATTAGATGAATTAAAATTACCATTATTAAAACCTGAAGTGGTTGTTACACTAAATTTATATAACTTTAAAAAAATAAGAGTTACTTCTGGTTCTAATGAAGTATATGATTATATTATACCTACCTCCAAAGCTGATGTTGGAGATTTAGTGACATATGAACATATAACAAGAAAACAGCTAATAGAATCTTATAATAATGAAAATTCTGCTCTTATTAAAAAAAAAAATATAATTGTGAGGACTTTAAAAATAATAAAATGTATGTTATTACCAATCATTTTTTATAAAAAGACAAAAAAATTAAAAGATTCACTAATGCAATTGAACAATCTTTTTTATAGCTATGCAAACTCAAAAGAAACCGATAATTTATTTTCTCAAGCTAATTCTAGAATATGGTTACATAAAACTATTAGTCTAACTTATAGAAATATCAAAAAGAAATTTTTTTTACCCAATGCATTAGAAAATATTAATTTAGATATACTAAATTCCAATGATTTATATTTTACGTCTAACTCAAATATCAAATTTATGAAAAAATTAGATAAATTGTGTGATTACTATAACTTAGGAATGTTTAATATAATTGGTTCTCATTTTATAGGTGTTTCTTTTTTTTCTTTTTTTTTTTAGAAACATTAAATAAATTATTTTTTTTTTCATATTAAAAAAATTTTTTTTTTTTTTTTTTTTTTTTTAAAGCCTTAGGACATTTCATAATTTTAAAATTAGCATTTAAACTCTTTTATGAATATTTTGAAATAGGGAAAGTAAAATTTTTTAGTTGGCAGAAAATTTTACAACTTAACATATCAGATAGATTTAAAGCACTAGATTTAATTTGTAATAATAATTCTAATTATGAAACAAACAAAAAAAGAAGAGAACAATATTTAAAAGATTATAGAACATCAACACTAGAAGAATGTAGAATATTAGAATTTTTAACTCATTATTTTAATAAATACCAAATGGAGTTGTATACTAATGCTTATCAAATAAATCTTAAGGTTCAAGTTTTATTAGAACATATTCACTTAAAAGAAGAATTTTTCAAGTATATGTGTAATAATGAAGAGAATTGCAATATATATGATAGTTATAAATTCAAAAGTGAATTTAGGATAGATACACTCACAAATAAAGATAAATATAATTTTTCAGAATATCTTATTTCTAAATCCTCAAGGATAAATTCATTCAATATATATATAAATTTTTTATATTTTATAAAATATTATAGTTATTTTAATTATAAAGGTATTTTGTATGTTCATCTTTTAAATCTTATTGGAATTTTAAGTAACAATATTTTTTAAAAAATATTTTTATAGTTTTTGAATATCTTTATTCGTTATTTTTTTATTTATTTCAACTTTCTTAATATTATTAGCAAGTGAAAGTAAGGCATATGTAAGTTCTCTTTATCTACCTGGATATTATAATGGTGAGGAAAAAAAGAAAAAAAAAAAGTAACATTTACATTATTTTTTTTTTTTTTTTTTTTTTTCAGCCATTCAGCTATCGTATGATAACAAAACTAACCTTCTAGAGCTCTATGAAAATATACAAAAATGTAAATTTAAAAATTATTCTACAAATATTATTATAGATTGTATTTAATAAAACAAACAAATAAACTTAAAGTAGTTTTATTAGAATGTTAATAATTATTATGCCTTATAAAATCGAAAATTAAATATTTTTTAAATTATAGGTGTTAAGGCATGCCATATGAAGGATAGAAGATACAAAGTATTATCTTACGACATTGATTATCTTTTAAATTATACAAGAAGTAGTATAGAGATATGTAATATATGTGAAGGAACACTTTTTTATATTAGCAGTAATATTATAAAAAAACTGTAAATATTCTTTAATTATAAATCACATTCCTGTTTTATAAATTTTAACTTTTATTGTATAAATTAGGTCAAAATGAAGGTAAACCTTCAATGTTACAAAAATTTTTTACATATGTTACTAAGGTTGTTAAAGTAAATAATATAAATATATTAATAAAAAATATGAACATTTATGAAGATTATAATAATTTTTTGGCACATGATGTAAATTGGTATACTTTTCTTTTATTATTTAGACTGAGTTCATACAAAGGTAAGTAAAATATAGAAAAAATAATACTTAATTCAACTATATAATATATAAGAATTATCAAAAAATTATTAAAATGCAACCTAAATATGAAAATTTATAAATATATTAAAAAAAATAAAATAAAAAATGAACAAATAATTTATCCAAATGATTGCTCTCATACACAATATGAATAAAAATTTTCTTTTTTTTCTGTAGACATTATTAATAATAACATAGCAGGAGCTATGTATATAAGTTTAAAAAAAGAAGATAAGTTTAAAAGATCTATTACTACAAGTTATTGGTTTCCCTCACCAATAAGGAAATATTATTCTCAATATGTGAGAAAACATAAATCTTTGAGCTTATTACAAAGTAAAACACGATAAAAAAAAAAAAAGAAAAGAAATTATGATGCATGTTTTAATTTTTCTTTTTTTTTTTAAACATTTATTTTCATAAAACATATATATATTTTACCTTTTTTTTTACTTCTTTTTTCACTTGACATTTTTTTTTTTTTTTTTTTTTGTTGTTTTTTTATTAGAATTAGTAATCTTTTTAAATAATGATACTATTGAGAAAATAAAGAAATGTATAACATTCATTGTTCATTTGCATTCATTTTTGCAATTAGATTTTTTTTATTATCTTATTGAGACCAATACGAAAAATTATGTTTTTCCTTTAACTTTATTAATGGAAAGTAAGTTCAGAGATTGGACAAAAAGTTTAAGATTAGGTCGTTTCTTTTTAGATTATGAAAACGAAGATGAAGGAATTAAGAAAGGAGAGTATGTAATACCTAAATATAGGAAATGGATTTTGATAATGAAAAAATTTATAGATAAATCATATGAAATATATTTTAATCAGAAAAGTGTAAAAAATTTACATAAACATCATAATATTTATGGAATAATTAATAAAATAATGCTAATGAAAGACTCTTATGAATTATATTCAAAGAATTTTCATGACATAATTTTTTATGCAGATATATTTAATTTACAAAGTAACAATATCTCTCTTATTCCCAAAAACAAAATAATAAAAAAAAAATTTTCTTTTTACACACATTCTATTATGGGGAATAATGTAAATTTTTATAAATTTGGAATGGTATACGGATTTATAATAAATAAAAATTATTTAAAAGAAGTTGTTGATACACTATTTTCAATATATGAAACAAACAAAGACATATTTTCAGATACTTCTTTTTTACAAACTGTTTATTTACTTTTTAAAAAAATTGAGAAAAGTTTTTATTCTCATAGAAGAAATGATGATATAGTAAGATATGCATATAAATGTTCTTTTTTTTTTTTTATTTATATATATTTTTTGAATTTTTTTTTTTTTTTTTTTTTTTGTAGAGTATGAATAATAATTTTTTTTTTAATATTACTTATAATTATTCTAGAATGAACAAGAAAGATAGAGAAAAAGAAATTAATGCTTCAATGGCATCTAAGTATTTTGCTAAAACCTTATTTGTTTCATTTCAAATTATGTTTACTATAAAATTAAGTAGGTATATGGATGATCTTGATAAGAAATATGGTTCTCATGAATTATTAGGATTAATGATTAATGAGGATTCTTTTATGAATTATTCTTACGTATCTCATGGAAGTATGTTAGATAGTTTAACAAATAGCTTTTTACCATATTACACAAAAGAACCAATAACTCAATTAAAATTTGGAAAATCTTTTATTTTAGCTAACCTTCATAAACTGTGTGCTCTTATATTTTCTATATTGAATTTAAATAATTTAAGTCTTTTACTTGAATATCAAGCAATAATTAGTTCTAGTTTTTATGTTTCAAAAAAATTGAATCAATTTATAGATAAAAAAATTGAACTAATATGTCTAGCATTCATTGCTCAAATGACTCCTGATTATCTAGAATATCTGAAAAATTTACCTGGATATATAGAATCCGGAAATTGGGAGACGATTTATGACATAAAAAGTTTAGTAACATATCCAATGTCTTTACTTCCTATTTCATATGCAGGATTATATGAATTAGGTAATATTTATTTGAGAAAAAAATATTTTTTTGCTTCTGTTCCATCTGATAAGTTACAACTAGAAATAAGTAAAGAATCATATTATCCACCATTATATAATAAAAAAAAAGCTATAACTATTACTTTTAAATATTTTATGAGATACTTTCATGCAACTCTTTTTTGCTGGCTTTTTTATCATTTTTTTGGGTGGTATTTTTATTTTGATTTTGTTATTATAACACTTAGAAACCGTGTTCGTGTATTTGATAGGTATTATTCTATATTTGAGAATAGTGTTGGAAGTTTTCTTTTACAAAATTTTAATAGTTTTACTATTGATCCCGTGCTAAAGGGGATTAAAAAATCATACATGCATATGAAAAATAAGGAACGATATGAAGATCTTCTTAATTCAAGAATTAATATTAAAGAATTTAATAAAAAATCACATATAAAAAATCTTGAAGAGCAAATAAATTTATTAACACCACAAGAAGTAGCTAAATTGTCCGAAAATGAAAATTTTATTTATATAGATGATAATTTATATTTTGAAGAATTAAATGAAAATGAAAAGTTTTTAAATAGAAGAAAAACTATATGTTTTAAAGAAAAGGATAAAACGGATGAAATCAGGAAAAATATGTATTCGGAAGAAAAAGTTACAGAAAATGGAAAAGATAATATAAATGAAATAACTTTATTAAAGAGCACAAAAAAGAAATTAGAATACGATTATGATGAGGAAAATATTTATCCTGAGTTTTATTGTACGGATATCTAATTTTTCAAGTTTTTTTCTTCATTATTAAACCATCATTATATTTATAAAAATCTTACATTTGGCCTATAAATGGTATTACCGACTTAAATGATATTTGAGTAATATAATATATTTTCATTGGTGCATAAGTTTGCAGGAAAAATATATACATCTAAATGATAACACTAGAAACACAAGAAAAAAAAAATATATATATATATATATAATTTTATATTCTTACTTTTGTATATATTTGTAATAAAAAAAAAATATATATATATATTTTATTTTTTTTTTTTTTTTTGGGTCTATGAAGCCCAAAGAAAAATTTGACGCATATAAAAAAAAATAATTTGTTTTTTTATGAAGGAATGATGAAAGTTTTTTTTCTTTTTTTTTATGTAAACAATTAAAAATGTAATGTTAAACATTACAAATATAGAATATTGTATAAGTTAACTTTAATATTAAATAACTAATAGAATTAAAGTTTAGTATTAATTATCAAAGATAAACAATTTATGTATTTATTTGTTTCAATTTAAATAATATAAGAAGAATTTTTCTCTTCATGCTTTTCGTTAATTTGGTTTTTCAATATTAATAAAGTTACTGAATGTGCAATTAATAAATTGGCGATACTAACAAGGAACTCGAAATCAACTAGAACCTTACAACCATTGAATTAGAAATATATCAAAATGGAAAATGAGATAGAGAAACTAAATTCAAATATTTTAAAAGAATAAGTTAAGAAAATAATACATGCTTATAAACAGGAAAGATGATAAAAAATCAAGAGTAAGCATATCTTAGGGATTGTATAAATTTAATATGTTACCATTAAGGAGTCATTTTGAGAGGTTTAAAGAATTTGAAAAATTGTCATCACTGTTAATATTAATTAATACATAATATTGTATGACAACTAAAATAATTTTACCTAATATATATTCTAGCCTAATAATATCAATTTCCACAAATAAAGAGATAACAAATATTTACAAGTTATCAAGATTTATGTTCTTAGTTAAAGAAAAAAAATATAAAATGTAATACATTCTTGCTTATTCTGAATAAAAAAATAACATTATTGAAGCTATAAATTTGTTTATTATTGACTGTATAATATACACCCAAAGCTGCTTTTATTTTGTAGAATCAGGTGAATTAGCTCTGAGAGATCTTTGGAGAAGTTTTAGGCGAAAATTTCCATTATATATTATGAAATGTATCCCATTAAGTTAAACCTTAAGGGAAAATATTTGATGAAACTATGACCTCAATACAAGTATTAGGAGACACATATTTATAAGGACCCTATAAATAATATGCGAATACATTTCATTAAAAGAATTGATTATACTTGGAGATAAAGAAATAATGGTAAATTTAACAATAAATACTACAATTGTGAGATATGTCTTCTTAAAGAGAATTCGGTAAATTGTAAAAAAAGATGTGATAATTGTAATATCATTGGTGATTTAGTGTCAATATGCATAAATAGAGTATTTAGGGATAAAAAAAAATGAAATTGAAGGTATAATAATGAGTAAAAGATGTGATATTAAATTTTAGATGCTGATAAAGTAATTTTAAAAAAAGTAGAATTAATGTAAACATAATTTATTAAACACATAGAGTATAATGAAAAACAGAAAGATAAAGAAATTGTTAGAAAAAGAAATAGCATTCATAACGTATGTAAAGGTGAAGAAACAAAGGAAACATTAGAAAAGGAGAATAATATCTTAACATATTACAAAATGATGAACATGCTAAATTATTCTACCAAACGATAAACAAATAGTTCAAATAAATGGAAAGAAAATACATGTTTTGTTAAACAGTCAATAAAAGACTTCATTGACCTTTTTAAGAATTTATGTAATTGTAGTGGCATATTTTAAAGTATTTCTTGTTCATGGAGATAATTAAAAGACATATATGGAGATTTCATTGAAGACATTTATAACAATATTTTGTTTGTATAAAAAAACCGCAAAGTAATTAACAATAAAATACGTACCCTTTGAATTATATCAGAGGTATGTTTATAAAATATTCATGATATTAACAAATATATTAAAAAAATTAAGTTTACATATTTTTTTTAATACATGCGCTCTTGTAATTTTTTTTTATCTTATAAAAAACTATTGGGAGACTTATAAAAACTACGAAGTATATAATAAATATGTTAAATTTTTTATAAAATGATAATTATATAAAAGGTTTATAATTATCTACATAAATTAATTTTATCATATATAAGTAGAGATTCCTCTATACACTCTTTATTAACTATTTTAAGTACTATAAAAAGATTTGAATGGTCGATTAATAAAACAAATCTAGAATTAGTTAATAAAAGGCTTTATTAACCTTTTCGAGATTAAAAAGTAATAGATATATAAAAAAATAAAATTAGTCGATAATTTTTATTTTCCTTTTTTTTTAAATCAAATATATAAAAAAAGATATTCATTCTTTTTTGGGGAAAAAAAAAAAGAATATATTAAATGATCGAAAAAGTGTGTTGAAAAATATTGGTTTATTAAATATAGAGTTTTCTTTCGTAGTGAATTTTTATTTTGAATTTTTACGAGAAAAGCTTACATATATTATAATGAAATTTTCATGTTTATAATGTTTACATATTTTAATTTATATTTCATTAATTACTTATGTTTGTTAACTTGGGAATAGTGGACTTGAGTTTGCTAAACATTATTCATATCATTACAAGTAAAAATATATTTAATCAGAAATAAATGTTCAATGAAGATTTAAATTTTTAGTAAAAATAAGGATTTTTATAAAAGTAAATAAATACCTCTTGAAAACAAAGAATGTTCAACGAAGCAGATTACATAAATACAAATTAATTGTTTATAGAATTTAAAACTATTCATTAAATTAATAGAGACAATTCTACATACTCTTTATTAATATGTTTGTTCATCACCCTAGTAAAGTTGATTAACACGCAGTTAGTAATTCAAGTATTGAACAAACAGATTAATAAAGAGCATATAGAGTTTCCTTCATTAACTTAATGAATTTAAATTTAGTTTTAATACTATAAACTAGTAAATTGTTTTACATATAGTCTACTTCATTCGGAAATTAATGTTCTTAAGAGGCATTTATTTTCTTTAGTAAAAATCTTATCTTCTTATTAAAAATTTAAATCCTAATTAACTAACGATTTTAGTAACATATATATTATATACAATGTTATGAGTAATTTTTGACAAATCCCATCCACTTCTTTTAAATTAACAAACACAAATAATAAAATACAAAATAAATTATATAATTACTACAAAACACGAAAATTTTATTATCGTTAATATAAAATTTTCCTATATAAATTTAAAAAAAATAAACAAGAAATTTTTTTTTTGTCAGCAATAATCTATTCTATTTTACCAGACTATTATATTTTTAAAAAAAATATATTTTTTTTATCTTTTAAAATTTATAAAAAGAAAACAAAAAAAGAAAAAAAATTTTTTTTTTTTTTTTTTTTTTTTTTTTATCTGCACTTACGTAACTATTTATTTTCCATACAGATATTACTTTTATTCTCAGAAAGGTTATAGATAACTTTTATTAACCTCTAATCAAATTTTTTACCATCTAAATGTTTAAAAATAATAAAAATTAGTACAATTTTTACTAAACTTTTTAAATATTCTATAAATTAATTAGTGTATTAGGATCAGATAAAATATTGAATTAAAATGTTTTATTTAAAGGAATGTAAAGTTATGTGAAAAATTAATTCATATAATTTTAAAAAAATTTAATTAAATAAAAATTACGGATTAGTTACAGAAAAAAATTTTTACTATAAATAAAATTAATAGAGACAACTCTACACATTCTTTATTAATATTTTAGTTCAGTGTTATACAAAAAGATTTTAATGGAATAATAAGAAACAAAGCATGCCAAAAGCATTTTATTTATCTTTCAAATCAAAATCTCTTTTTTTTATTTGTCATGAAATTTTAACTATTTATCCTTGTATTATAAGAAATTCTAAGTATGTGCAACTCTTTATTTTACATCTATTTATCATTATTTTAAAATGATTAATAGATATTTTTACTAAATTGACACTTTCCTTTCACAAATGATAATGTATAAAAAGAAAAAAAAAAAAATTTAATTTTTTTAAGATTAGTCTATACCAATTTAAATTTGCATATTATTTTAACAATTTTATATTTTGTTCTTATTTTTTTCTATCCTTCAATATCTTTATATACAGATTTTTAATTGTTATTCATAAAAATCATGTACTTGACAATATTGAAGCCATGCAAAGTTTTTTCCATTTTTCTATTTTTTTTCATTAGTGCGTCCACATTTTGTCATTTTTTTACTTTTTTTCTTAGAATTTGAATCTTTATTCTTTTAAACCTTGAAAAACATTAAATGTTTCATTCATTATTATTGAAATTTTTCTATGAATTAATCTTCTATTATCTATATATTCAGTGAAACTTACTTTAATGTGTAACTTTGAATTTTTTTACTATAATTTTTACTTTCTTACTAATTTCTTATAGTTTATCACACCATCTCCCATTTAATTTAATTAATTCTTTTTTTTTTTTTTTTTGTTTCCATATAAATTTGGTTAATAAAAGTTATCATTAACTTTTCTGAGAATTAAAGTAGTAAATGTATGGAAAATAATAGTTAACCATGTAAGTTATAGATAAATAAAAAAAAAAAACAGTTAATTTTTTTTGTTCTCTTTTTGCAAATTTTAAAAGACATAAAAAAAAATATATTTATTTTTTTTAAAAAAAAAAGATTTAATATTGAGAAAAAAAAAAAGAGATAAATGTTGACAAAAAAAAGTTTCTTGTATATTTTGTTTAAATTTATATAAGAAAAGTTTATCTTAACGATAACAAAATTTTCATATTTTATAGTATTTAAATAATTTATTTTCTATTTTGCTAATTATTTATATTTGTTAATTTGAAAGAAATGGATTTGAATTGTTAAGTATTACTCATAATGTTATAAATAAAATATATGCAATTAAAATTATCAATTAATGAGGATTTAAAATTTTTAATAAAAATGGAGATTTTTATTAAGGTAAATAAATTCTTATTAAAAAAAACCAAAAATACGCAATGTAGTAGGCTATACATAAAACAGTTGATTGGTTTATAACGTTAAAATTATACATAAATTCATTAAATTAGTAAAGGCAACTCTATATTCTCTTTATTGTTTTTTCAATACTCTAGCAAAGTCATTGTAGAGACAATTAATAAATCAAAATATTAAACTAATGAATGAATATTCCTTTCAAAATATCCATCATTTTCTCTCTCTAGTAAGTTTTTTATATTGAAGTAATTTATATAATTTTTATTTTAATATTTTTCTTTTTATCCTTTAAATGTCTCCATCTAAATTTTTTTTTTTCTTAATATTATGCAAAACCTTTTTTTCTCATCTAATTATATCTTTTTTGTGTAAAATTCAACCTTCTTGTTTGTCTGTATAGTAAAAATTTGTAGCAGGACAAAATTTTTCCACATTAAAATTACAATTTTATATATGAAAAATAAAAAATTGTCCAGAAAATATATATAGCGAATAATTATTTTAGGAATATTTTATCATTAAATAGCTAAAATTGCAAATATTTGATCCTACATATGAGGAGTCAATTTTTTTTTTAATATAATATGATAATATTTAAATAACTGAATACTTTTATTTTTCTTTAGCATACTTCTTATTTTAACAAATAAAAGGTGATTTTATTTGAGATATTTTCCCAATTTTTTTAAAAATTAAAAATGTATGAAATAAAAAAAAAATGTTTTTTTTTTATTATATAACAGTTTAAAAATATTATTAATTAAATACTCTTATGCAATTTTATCCTTTTTCTATTTTTAATTATTTTAAAAATAATATGTGCATAAATATAATTGTTCGAGATAGGAAAAAAAAAATATTCATATAAGAATTAATTTTTTTTTTTTTTAGATTTAAAATTAAATTATTTTATTTTATATATTTCTTCTTTATATTTATAGTGAAAAACATGGAATTAATTTTTTTCTTTTAAATGTACCAAGAATAATCAAGTTTTATTACAAAACAATTATCCAAATAATCACTAAATGTATTTTTCATATTAATTAAGTAAGATACATTTAAAACATATTTTAATTTTTTTTTTAAGAATGTATTCTTTTAATTATTATTTTTTTATGTATTACATTTTAAATACTTCAGGAGCATAAATAATGTGTAATGTAAAATAAACTTCCTCTCTTGCATATTGAATTTTATTTCATTAAGAAAATACAGAAAATAAAAACGTAAAAACATGCAAAATATAAAAAATATTAAGAGAATATTAATTCTATAAACATACTTAGATAAAGAAGATATTATTTCAAAAAAAAAAAACTAAAATAAAATATTGCATATTCGTTAAAAAAAAAAAACGGAGAGAATAGAGACTTTTATCATACTTTACTATAAATATTTATATTAAAATGAATGAATAAAAATCTTTAAAAAAAACTATTTTTTTTTTTTTTTATTTTGAATTTTATTATTTTTATGATAAATATCAAAGAAAAATTTAACATAATTTATTACGTTTCACGTAATAATTTTTAGATATAATTTAAATTATATATAAATATTCGTATATTTTAAAAATTTTTAATATAAATCTTTTTGAATGAACGAAAAAAAAAAAAAAAATATATAACTTCATTGTTCACGTATACTAAATTTCTTCAATAATCTTTAATATATTATTATTAATTAAAAAAAATTTGAGGTTTAATAATCATATTCAGATAATTTTTACTTAAACTAGTATAAATATTTTTTTATTTTATTGTATTAATACATAAATTTTTTTAACCAAATTTTTTATATATTTTTTTAGTCAAATTGAAAAGGTTATATTCTCTTCTAAATTTCAAAAGTTTTATTTTAATTTTATCTTTATATAAAATATCAAATAATTACAAAAGAAAAAAAAAATAAATAAATTTAATTAATATAATTTACGTAAATATTATATGTGTATAATTAAATACTGAAAATTTTATAAAATACTTATACACAATTTTTTTTACACACTTTAATAAATAATATATTAAGCTAATTATTTTTATTTTTTTTTAAATAGAATTTAATAGACCGATTAGTATAATATAAATACACAAAATTGTTGTTCTAATGTATATTATATCTTTGTTATATGTTTTTAGGAAAATAATATTTTTATATTTATTTTTTGTAATATATGTGGTCTTTAAAAATTCCTAAAAATACTTCTAATCATTTAAGTGAAATATCGAAACATCATAAGCAAATTAAAATATATACATTAACAATTGAATTATTAAAAAATGACCTTTGAAATAACAAATTATTACAATTATTTCTAATATTCTAAATTTTTTAAATATAATGAAAAGAATATATATTTTTAGATAAATGAGTAAATAAAAAAAAAAAAATAAAAACAAGATAAATAAATGAAAAAAAAAAAAAAATGAAAATTTTTGAATTCTATTGATAATGACAATTTTTAATCATTAAAAAGATGAAACATTTTTTATGATAGTAAAAAAAATAAATGTAAAAATTAGCAGAAATTATTTTTAAGTTGCAATTTTATTGGTAATAATAGTAACCATATAATGATGTAATTTCATTAAATAAGTTTAAATTTTTACATATAATTGTCAATTATTCAAATGTAAAACTATTAAATTTTAGTAGTGTTGTAAAAAAAATGTGAAACATAAATATTATATATATATATATATATATATATATATATATACATTAAACTATTTATAAATAAATTACAATTGTGTTAATAAAAATTTTCAAAAAAAAAGAAAAAATTAAAATAACAGTGAAGTAATTTTTACCTACAATTATAAAATTGATTACACTTTATATATCATGGTAAATTTCATTTAATAATAATATGAAATAAATTAATAACAGTTATAATTTTCTAAAAAAAAAAAAATGCAATTATTTATTTACTTGTTATTTGAATATAAATAAATGAGGTTTTATATACATGATAATTTAACAAAAAAAAAAAAAAAAAAATGGAAAAAATAAAATAAGATAAAATGAAAAATACTTATAAAAGTGACCTTAACACAATTTTTAGTTGAAATTATAATATTGATTTATTAAAATTATCTATAAATAATATATTAATTATAAGTTATATATCAGGAAAATAATAGATCTCAAAGTGTTAACACTTTATTAAAAATAGGAAATAATATTGAAAAATATTTTACATTTTAGAATTTTTATAAAAACGATTAGAGATTAGAATTATTCTGTTGTGTAACTTATAAGTGTGACTATTAATGTAATAATAATAAAGATAGAAGTTATAACATTGTATACAATACAATGATTATTTTGTAGAAGGTATAATAAAAATATAAGCTTATTTTAATATTAATAATAAAAAAAAATAAACATATATAAAATAAGTTTATATAAATAATAATTTTATTGAGGAAAAAATAGGTAACAATAATAATAATAACTAATGAAAAGAAATGGGAAAAAACATGGGGAGAAGAACGAAATTGTAGTAAAAACTTATTCAGCCAATTTTTCTTGTTCTTATTTTTTTATATATTCATTTGTAAAAAGATAAAAAAAAAAATTTAAGAAATTCATTTGAGTTATCTTGAATTTTTCTATAGAATTAATATCCAGAAATTTAGAAAAATTTTTTTTTATGAAATTCATGTAAATAATTTTTAATATTATATTTAATTATTTTTAAAGAATTAATTTTAGCACCATGAATTTGGTTTTATTTTTGGGAATCAAAAATAGTGTGTAGGAACTCCCGTTTTTTTCTTTAACGCTCATTAAACTGCTGAGAATTTTTTTAATCTTTCATTTTACTTTTTTTAGTGATCTTTAAAAATCATAACGAAAAACAAATTTTTTATTTCACATTTATAAAAATATTAAATGAAAATAATGCACTTTTTTTTTTTTTTTAAATATAATTTGAAGAATCTATAAAATATTTTCCCTTTATTTTATACTGCATATTTTAAAATTATTCACTGTTTTTATTGTACATGGCTATTCTTTTTATTATATTTAGATTTTTAACTTTTTTCTAACTTCACATACATTAACATGCATGTGTATTTTTATAGTTTGTAGATTTTTTAATTAATAGAAATATATGAAATATTATTAATTTATTGGATTTAATCTGTTACAAAATAAGATCTACTATTTTATAATTAGAATGATATATATAACAAAAATAATACTTCATTTTGTGTAAGTTATGTTCTATTTAATAATGATATTTTAATCTATATTTCAAATATACAATAATTCTTTCAACGTTTTAAATAAATATATACACATATTTACTAGAATTTATACGCAAGTTTATTATTTATTTTTTATTAACTATAAGATTCTTACATAAATTTTGATGAAAGAATTTTTGTAATTAGAAAAATAAACATTTTAAATATTCTACATAAAAGAAATAGCTATATCAAAATATAAAATTATAACATGTTACTTTTAAATTTTAAAAAGAATAAAAGGAACGCTTTATAATATTATAAATATGAAGAGTAAATTTTTTTGGATTCTATTTTTTGTTATTTTATTTATTCTTTATGGTAAAATAATATTTATATATATTTTAACCAATTCACATTTTTTCGTAGTCTTGTAAATATATCTTAATTTTTATTTTACATATGTTCAGCTTCAGGAGAAGAAAAAAATATTAGAACAAGATTAAACAAACTAGGAGATGATGAAAATACTACATTTACTAATATTTACTTAAAAAATAATAGAAAGAAAAAAAAAAATATTAAAATTTCTAAAAATTTTAATCATTCAAGTGAAAAAGAATTAAATAAAAGGTCAAAAAATTTTAAAAATGAAGACATTTCATTGTTAGATTTACTTAAAAAAACGACATTTATTAATTTAAAAGATTATAATATAAATAAAACCCCAATTCATTTTGAAGAATTAAATAAAGATAAAATATACTTATCTAAATATAATTTTATAAAAAAAAATAAAGACTTAAATAACATTATAAATTTTATTCAAAATAATGAATCGGAATTATCTGTTGAAAATGATCTAGATAAATTTTCACAGTTAAATAGAAAAGTAAATTTTAATTCATCTAATGTAGAATCTTTTAAACTCAGATTAGAGTATTATATTGACTATGCTAAATTAGCAAAGTCTTTCAAAGACAATGATTCGCATTTTAAGACTAATTGTTTAGCTGGAATTCAGAAGTCAACTGATTTTATAAATGAGGCCTTAAAGTTTTATAAGGATTTTAAAGAAATGATAAAACCTCCACTTGAAGGCAATCGAAATAAAAGCAGTCCAAGTAGTAGGAATTCTCTTGAGTTGGAAGGTAATATAGAAGAGAAGGAAAAAAAAATTGATTCTTATTATAGTGATTCTCGATTAAAATGTAACAATGACTATATATGCATATTGAATCATTATTCTGTAAGTAGACGGAAATATAGTTCCGAAGTGTTGTTGGAAGAAATCGATACAGTGTTTTCAAATTTTTTTTGCTCTAAGTACTATAAATTTGTTAAAGATAATTCTAATTTATATAAGCAAGATGAAATTAACTTGGGACATATTGAAAATTTTCTGACTTTTTCAAAAAAAGTATTAAGATTTGATGAAAATCAAATATATCAAAATCAAAATATGATTGATAAAAAATGGAAGGAATATATTATTGATATTGAACAAAATAAAGAAATTTATAAGGATAATATATCGATGTTTAATAAGTATCATCAATCATTAGTAAATGATGAGAAAACCTATGGAAATTGTGCGAAGAAATTATCTGCGCAAAAAAATAATATAGGTGAAAAATTGAGAATGCAATTAAATTATATGTTAAGTTATTATGATATTAAATTCCTTGATGAAAAAAACAAAGAATTAAGGAAAAAATTACATGAGGAAATAAAAAAATTTACTCAAGTAACTAAAGATATCGAGGAAGAATTAAAACTAAAAATGGAAGAAAAAGTAAATTCATTGCTTCATCCTAAAAATTTAGATTCAGAAATGAAAAACATAATTTCAGATTCACAGAGAACATTAAACGATGTTGATAATATAATTGAAGAAAACTCAGTAATTTCACAAAATTCATCAAAGAACTATCAAAATTCAATATTTATTGACACTAAGGGTAAACTAAATAAAGATGTTGCAGAAATAATTATACATAGCGATAATATAAAAAGAATATTTAGTTCTATGAATGATATAAATAACAACATTAATTCTTTAAAAACGGATATAATGAATATTAAAAATAAAGAATTATCTTCTCACATTGATAGAAAAGCAGCTATAGAGGATTTATTAAATAGAATAATTAGCATTGAAAAACAAATAAATCTAATAAAAGAAAAATTTGATATGTTAGAAAATTATCACAAGGAATTAAAAAGCTTAAAAGATGAAATTACAAAATTAAAAATAAAAGTTCAGGAAAATTATAAAAAATTGCAAGAAATAAAAAAAGAATATGATAAATCTAAAGAAGAAATTATAGAACAAATTAAACAAAAATTATCAGAAATTAGTGAAAGTATAATAAATTTGAAAAAAATTAAGAGTTTAAGTGAAACAGAAAATGAAGATCTTAAAATAACTGGAAATTTAATTAATGAGGCATCATGTGACATGAGTGAATACAAAAAAAAGGAAACGACATTATCACACCAATTTAACGTAGCACAAGAATCTTTGAGAAGTACCATTGACAATGAGATGCTGAGAATTATATCACAATTTACTGAGGAAAAAAAAAAATTAAATTATATGGAATATGAATTAACTGATCTGGACAAAATACTAAAAGAAGTGATAGAAAACTATTCTAGAATAAATAGTATTAATGCTAATACCGAAAATATTTTACAGAATAATATGAATCCTGTTTTGGAGGATATTGTACGGTTAAAAAAGGATACTACGATAAAATTAATAGACGATTTATATCACAATATAGGAAATTCCTTTAAAAGTTTTAAAGAAATTTCACATGAAATATCCGAAGAAATAACAATTTATAATTCAAAAGATGAAACATTAAAAAGACATGAAAATTATATTGAAATAAAGAAAAATCAATTTTTTAGTAATCTCTTTGAAGACGAAGATAATGAATTACTAGGAAAAAATAATCTTGGGGAACTGAAAGATCTGCAAAATGAGATTTCTAATGAGAAAAATGAAATAACTAAAAAAATAAATAATGAAGAAGATTTAATTAAAATTCTGAAAAAATATTTGAACTCATATAATAAAGTAGAAGAATTTTTTAAAATACTTAATGATTTTCAAACTTTTAAAGAACTTAAAGTTTTAAAAGAACCAATTGATAAAATAAATTTAGACGATGTATTAAATGGGCATAAAGTAAGCTTTCAAAATATAAATGAATCAATAGATAATAGTACAGGAAAAATTCATATATTAAATAAAAAAGTAGATGCTTTCAAAATTTTGAATAATTGCATAAATGGATCTCATAAAAATGATAAATCAATTGAAAATTTAAAAAAAGAAGTAAATACTTCAAAAGGGAAAATAACTACAGAGTCTATTAAAGTTAATGAGGACAATTCATTAGAAGAAAGTGAAACAAATAATACTTTAGATCAACTCAAAGGAAAAGAAAAAGAAATTGATGGCATAATAGCTAAGATTAGTGAATTAGAAGAAAAATCAAGTAATTTATTATTGTTTTATGAAGATATAAAAAAAAATGTTGATGAAGTTAAAATAATAGATGAACTAGGTGTTTACATAGAAAATACACAAGGAAAAAAAAATGAATTGACAGATATTACGAGAAAAATACATGAATTTAATTTAAAAAATATAGAATTAGATGGAAATATTGATACCATAATTAATAATCACAATGATAGCATTCAAAAATTATGTTATTTGCGTATAATGAAATTGGAGAAAGATGCAGATGGCCAAGTTCAAACAAATTTAAATACTTTAGATGAAACAGAAGAAAATTTTAAAAATTATGACGAAGAAATTTATACAAAAAAAATTAAAAATGATAATAATAAACAAAGCGTAAATAATTTAGCTCAATACATTAAAAACATTATAAAGAATATTAATATACACAGAGAAAAAGTAATAAACACTAAAAAAAAATATAAAGAACAAGTAGGGAAAGCTAATGAACAGAGAAAAAATAGCGAAAATTCATATATTCAAAAAAAAAGGATGATCGAAGTCTATAATGAAATGAAAAAAATATTAGAGGAGTTAGACGTAATTGAAAAGGAGATTAATCTCTCAGTAAAAGATGTAAATACAAAAAAATTAGAATATAATCAAACATTAATAAATGCCTTTTCTGAACAGATTAATGATGAAAAGGAGAAGGCTGAAGAAGAAGTAAACACTATAAATGTTCTTAAAAGTAAAATTGAAGAATTAAAGAAAAATACAGCAGAACACTCAGAAAGTGAATTAAAAAGTTTCAAATATGAAACTTATGTTAATAATGCTAAAGAAAATGAAGATCATATAAAAGAACTACAATTACAGGCTAATAAATTAAAAGAAGAAATAAATAATGGAAATAAAATATTAGTTGATACTGAAAATATCCTAAAAAGAATAGAAGAAATATTGGATGAAGTTATAAAACGAAGAAATGATATACGAATATCATTAGATGAAATTGCAAATGTAGAAAAATTATTGATGACGCAAAAGTTGAAGGCTATAATGGATTATTTAAGAGATAATATGAAAAAAGTTGAAGAAGAAAATGTAAAGGCGAAAAGTGAATTAGCAAAATCAGAAGAAGCCAAAAATAGGGTATTAATGTATTTTCAGAGAGCAGAAAAATTAAAAGATTTAATTGGTAGTAGTTCAGAAGAAGACGTTATGTTAGCTAACATAAATGAGATTAAAACGCTAAAAGACGATATTATAAATATTATAAACAATATGGACATATTTTCAACAGAATCTGCAAAATGTAAAGAAAATTCTTCGACATATTATAATAATATAGTAAGGGGAAAAGAAAAAATTATTTATCTAAAGAGATATAACAAAAGCAATGAAAAAGAAATAACAACAGAACTAATAAATGAATTAAATAAAAATATAGAGCAGTCTTCTTTTTATTTAAAGGAAGCGGATACTAGTGCAAGCGAATCTAATAAAAATTGTCAATTAACTTCAGAATACAAAGCAAAAATAAACAGTATTTTAAATGAAACTTTAATATTAGTTGAAAAGGTAAAATATAAAAAAATAGAAAGTGATACTACAAAATTAGTAAGTGACATTAAAAGTCATTATTCTAATATTATAGAATCTTTGGAAAATTCAATAGAAAAAATAAATAATCTAAAAGAACAAATTGATGAAATAAAAGAAAAAGATGATAAAACTAATGAAAAATCATTGAACGCATTTGTTGAACTAGAAAAAATTAAAAATAATATAAATACCTATATATTAGAAATAAATTCAATGAAAACTAATGCAGATAATGTTTTCAACTATATTGAAGGTGTATCACATTCAATATTAGAAATATCTGGAAGAAGTGAAGATGAAGGTGTGTTAGATGAATTAAAAAAAGAACAAGATAATTTGAAGAGAATCTCAGAAATTTTTGAAGAAGTAAAAAATAGAAAAAAAAATCTCTTGCAAATTGAGGAAAAAATGTCAAGAGAAATAGAAAATATAATTTATAATATAGAAAGTAATTTAGAAAAATTTAAAAAATTATATGTAGAAGGAATTATTGAAGACATAAAAAGGGAAGCTGATCAAGAAAAAGTAAATGTTGAATCTTTGAAAAATTCACTAATTTCAGCAATTGATGTTTTTATATCCTTTTTCAATAAACATGGGTTAGAACAAAATAAAATTATACAAGAATTAGGAGATTACAAGGATATGGTTATTCAAATACATGATAAATTTGAAAAATCGTATAAAAAATTAGTGGATCTTGTAGAATCTATTATGTTACCTTCTACAACATACGACGAAGCAAAAAGTAAAAAAGAAGAAGTTATAAAAGAACAAGAAAAATATAAAAAGGAGAAAGATGAAATAATAAGAATATTAAATGACGTTAATAATATTAAAAAAAGTGAAACCTTAAAATTTATTTCTGGAAGAAATTTAGAAATAAAGAAAGTTTATGAAAAATACAAGGAGCAACAACTAAAAGTAGAGGAGTATATTGAAGAAATTAAAAAAATATATAGAAATATAATAAATTCAAGTGATGAAATTACTAATGCTTTAAATGACTTAGATCAAGCAAAAAATAAATTCAGCGAAATAAATGGAATTAAGATAGAATGCATCTCATATAAAAATAAAGTAGATCCTATTTATATGAATATTGTCGAAGGAAAAGAATTTATGGATATGAATGAGGAATCTGAAGGTTTTCAAATTTTAAACGATTCAAAAAATATTATGGATAATATTAAAGAAATTGAAGAATACATAAGTAACAAAGAAAATGAAGGTAAAAACTTAATTATCGAATCCGAAGACATCATAGAAAAATTTAAATTTAGAATCAAATTAAGAGAAAAAATAAGTGAATCAAAAAAAAAAGTAGATTACATTTTTACAATTGCACAGAATGCACTAGAAAAATGTAAAAAGATTGAAGAATTAAACACTGACGATCAAAATTATTATGAAATTGTAAAAGATGAAAAACAATATATTAATTTGAGAGAATCAATAGATTCATATAAAATACAAAATGATCAAATAAAAAATGAATTAAAGAAAGATTTAACTGAAATTAATTCTAATGATATTAAAAATAATTTAATTAATTTAGAAAAAGTTATTGATGAATCAAAAAATTATGAATATGATTCCGCAGCGTTAAAAAAAGCAGAAAATGACATTGCTGAAATTGTAGATTGGTTAGATGATAAGTATAATAATGTTATAAAAAAAAATGCTTTGGTTAATCATCTTATAGAATTAGATAAAAAGGATAAGTTTTCTTTGTTGGATTTATTTATAACAACTATGGATATTGAAATATCAAAAGATATGTTGCTAATTCAAAAAATAAAAAAGGATTCTGAAGAAGTTATAAAGTATATAAAAAATATCCATGTCATTATAACTAGTGATATGGATAAATTAAGTGAATTCATTGATAGTAACATAATCATTTATTCGCCAAATAATATTGATATGAACCAATATGAAGAGTTTTTTAAAATAAAAGAACAAGAATCAATGAAAATTATTAGTGATATGCGAACAGCATTTTTATCGATAAATGAAAAAATAAATGTAAATATTGTGATAAAAAATTTACATTTATCAAATGATCTTTACAAAAAATTAAAAATAGAAAAAAAATCTATTAATGATAAATATAAAAATTTAAGTGACATCAAATTAAAAGAAATGGAAAAAAAATCAAAGATATATTTGGATATAGCACAATTACTTGAAAATTTTCTAGGAAACCAAAAACAAAAATTAATAGAAAACAGTGATAATTTAAAGAATATTCAATACTTTTTTGAAGAGAAAAAGCAAATTCTTACTATTGAGTTAACCGATATAGATACGTCAATACATTTAGTTAGTGCGATTTATGCAACACTTCAACATAAAATTGATAAAAAAATTGGAATAGAAAATGACAATAACATCGAATATAAAAAATTAACAAAGTATACAGAAAATATTCCGCATTTAATAAAAAGAGTACAAGATTTGTCAAGAGATATAAATTTTATTAAATGTGAAAATAATTCTGTTTTACTGAAAGAAGAAAATAAGAAATTATCGGAAGAAATTCATCACTACGTAAGTAGAATTGATAAAAATGTGCGTGAATCGAATGAACATTTTGAGAGCATACAAGAAAAAATAAAGAAAAATATGGACATTATATCTGAAAATAAAAATATGACACTTGTTATTGATGATGTTATACAACATATAACTGATATAAAAGAAAAAATTCAATCTGAAAAAGATAATAAAAAATCAAAAGAAAAAAAATTTCCTAATGATAAATATAAAATAGCAGGAGGTGTATTAAGTAGTTTGTTTCTATGCTCATGTGTATTTTTCACAATGTTGCACAAAAATAATTATGAAGAAAGTGATAATAATGAGGAAAATTTGGAGTTTGAAGAATGTGAAAATGAAATTTCCAATTTAGATGAAAAAGAAGAAATTGTTGATGTATCATTTGTTGAAGGCGAAGATCTTTAAAAATAAATTTAATTTATTTCTATATTTTTAATATATATAACTTTTAAATGAATGCTTTTTATTTTTTTTTAATTTTATGTATTATAATTTGTTTTTTGTAAGACACTCCTTTGAATTTTATTTTTTTTTCTATTTCAGTTACATTGACTTTTTTTTTTTCATTGCAATTAAAATTCTAAAAAAATATTTTCCATTTTTTAAGAAAACATTATTTATTAATTGGTTATTAAAAAATTTTTATATAATATTAAACAAAAAAAAATAGTAAAAAACATATAATATAGTCTCTATCAATTTTGTTTCTTGTACAGATATTCCTTATAATTTATGTGTAATTTCTATATAATCACATTATAGAAGACGAAATAACTTATTTAATACGCTTTTTACAATTCTCCGAATAAAACACATTGACTCAATACTCTGTTTATTCTTAATATACTTACTAATTTGTGAAACATATAAAAAATTTAGAAAATATTTCACTCAAGTTTATTTATTATTAAGAATTTAATATATAAAAATCTTTGATAATAGATGAAATAATAAGGTATAATTAACAATTTTTCGTAAATATTATTTTTAAAATTTTTCTTAAAATTTTAAAGTCACATTTATTTAAAAATGCAGATATTTTTTTTTTTAACAAAAGAAAATTAAAACATATTTAACAAAAAAAATATTACAGCTACAAATAAAAAAAATTAGTAAATTTTTTTTGTATTTTTATATATGTAGACATACAGTAATATTTTTAGCTTTCATTTATAATATTCTACAAATATCATGAATAACTAGATCCTTATGTTATACTTTTGAGAATGTTATTTAAAAACTAAAAATACCCTTTAATGATTGAATGTTTAGAGAGTTTTAGAGTGCTTTGAATAGTCAAATTAACATATAGCATGCAGAGAGACCTCTATGCATTTATTGTAATTATATATGTTCCTTTATTAGAATTACTTGTTTATTACAAAAAAAAAAAGATTGACACATAAGAAATTTTATACTCTTTATATAATTATCTATATACAATAATATAAATATATTTTTTTTATATATCTCATAGTTTTTATAACTTCTCTGAGTAGTTCCTAAAAAGAAAAGTTATATGAAAAAATGATCCATACAATACTAAACATATTTTTCGACTCAAAAAAAAATTAATAAAAGAATTATTTATTTTTTTTTTTTAAAATAAAGTAAAAACTAATTTTTTTCTATAATAATTTCTTTTTATATTATTCATATTTTATAATTACGTTTCTTCTATGATTTATAATATATATATTCTGTTAAATCATGTTATTTTTCTTCAAATCTACACTGGCTACAAATATCTTCAGACATAACTTGATAATTAACTATTAATTATTTTGCATGTGTTGAAAAATTCTTAATATAATCCACCATTACAACATAAAATATCAAAAATTCAATTATACACTTATTGATCAAGTTCTTAAGGATTTCTCTAGATTACTGGATGGACAAATTGATAAAAATCATTTATGGCTATCTCATCTAATTTAAATTATTGTAAAACTAATATGATACTACAAAGAGGCAAAATTTATATATATAGTTTACTTTATTAGTCATTTATTTTATTAGAGGAATTTACCTACTTTAATTAAAATTTTACTTATTTTTATTAAAAATTTAAATTTTCATTAAAAATATTCATTATATGGGACATAATATTCTAGTATAAACTAACAATTTTTCTTTAAAATTATTTATATCTTTTAAAAACACAAAAGTTAATTTCTAACAAAAATAAAAATTTTTTTTTTCTATTTAATTAACTATTTATATATATTGAATTCAAAATAAATTCAGATGACATAAGAAAATATATGAATTATTCATTTTTCAAGAAATAAAAATTAAAATTAAAAATATATTCAGCAAAATGAGTTACGAAAATAAAAAAAAAAATAGTAATTTTTTTTTTTTTTTAATTAGAAAATGTGCATGGCTAACTGGTTAATAAAAGGAATTATTAATCTTTTTGAGAATGAAAATAACTAAATATAAGGAAAATATATAGTTATCCGTGAAATCGTTAGATAAAAAATAAAAAATTATTTGTTAATTTTTTATGTTTTTCTATATCTAAATTAAATAGGTAAAAAAAAAATGTATTATTTTTTTTTATGAATAAAGAGATTGATAAGGAAAAGAAAATAATAATCGGAAAAGATATGTAATTTATTGAAAAAAGTGTTTCATTGCAGTGAAATTTAATTTTGAATTTTTAACAGAAAATTTCATATACATAATAATAAAATTTTCATTTTTGTAATGTTTATATAATTTAATTTGTGTTTCATTAACTACTTATGTTTACTAATTTGTAAGTAGTGGACTTGAGTTGCCAGGCATTATTAATAACATTATAAGTAAAATATATGTAATTAAAAATTAGTAATTAAAGAGGATTTAAACTTTTAATGAAAATATAAGATTTTTATTAAAGCAAATAAATGTCTCTTTAAAATAGATAATGGTTAATCAAGTAGACTAGATAAACACAGCTTACTTGTTTTATAGAACTTTAAATTATATATAACCTCATTAAATTAGTAAAGGAAACACTATTTGCTCTTTATTAATCTGTTTGTTTAGTACTATAGCAAAGTCATTGAACAGGCAATTAATAAAAAATACAACAAAAGAAAAAATAAATATATATATATATATTTTTTTCTTAATATATCTTTAGCTTATTTATTTAATAATTACTAATTCAATGACTTTATTAGTATTGAAAAAACAAATTAATAAAGAGAATATGGAAAGAGTTCTTTTTCTGTTTTGATTAAAATAAAATATTAAAAAAATCATGTACATATGTGGTTAATAAAAGGTTTCATTAACCTTTTTGGTTATAAAAAGGACTAGCTATGTTAAGAATATGTAGTTGGTTGTGCTAACTAAAAAAAAAAAAAAAAAGAAAAATTATTGGAATTTTTTTTTTGAGATATTTTTCTTTTGAAAAATGGGGATACGAAAAAAAAAAAATATATTTATCTTTTTTTAAAATGATTTATTCAGAGAGAAAAAGAGAAGATTGGTAAAATAAAAATCGAGAGTAAGATTTAGTACCAATAAGAATGAGATTTAAAAAAGATAATAATGTTTTCATAAAAGAGTTTAATTTGCATAATATTTATATTTTGAATTTGTGAGAGAAAATTTTATACATATGATAATAAAATTTTCGCTTAATTAATATTCATATGATTTATTTGCATTTTTACTAATTGTTTATGTTTGTTAATTCAACAGCAAAATATTTAAATTGCTGAAAATAACTCATAACAATGAAATAAGTAATTTACATCTAATTAATAGTCAATATTCAATAAGGATTTAAATTTTTAATAAAAATAGGGATTTTTATTAAAGTATATAAATGCCTATTGAAAGTAAAGAATGCTGAACGGAAAAGAGCACATAATTAAGAATTACTCATTCAAAGCATTTAAAAATATATATAAATACAACAAAACCGTAGAGGCAATTCTACATGCTCTTTATTAATTTGTTTGTTCATTACTCTAGTAAAGTCACCCAACACCCAATTAATAAATCAGTATGTTAATTAATATTAAATATTAATTACATTAGTTCCTATTTAACTTACAAATAATCTATGTGTATCATACATAATATTTCCTTTTTAAGATTTCATAAAACAAAAAAAATATTCTACATCATCATCTAAATTAAAAAAGAAAATTATTTTTTTTTTTATAACTGTAAATACACACAAAAAAAAAAAAATATAATACAATATATCTACATTTTTTTCTTTTAGTACATATACTTTTAGAGTTAGTATTTTTATTTAAATATATTTAATCCTAGCAAAAGTATTTTCTTTGATGAAAATATTTTTTGTGTACTTTATTTTTTAGTATACACGTATATTTATGCACATTTTACCACCATTTTATTATACACAAACAAAATATTTTTACTAATCTTATTAAGTATTAAAAATATGTCAATAATATTATTCATAGACAATTTATTAAAAAAGAATAATAAAAATTAACAAAAAATTTTTTTTTTCTATCTGGTTCTGTTGTATAATAAAAAACATTATTAAACTTTTTTAGAATAAAAACTTCTATCCGTATGGTAAATACATAACTATTCAAACATTATTTAAAAAAAAAAAATTATTAAAAATTATTTTTTTCCGTTTATTTAGTAATTTTAAAAAATAAAATAAAATATTTTTTTTTTGAAAAAAAAAAGTGTGAATCCTGAGAATTAATTTAGTTTCATATTTTAAAAGAAAATTTTATACTACAATAATGAAATTTTCAAGTTTATAATAATTATATAATTTATATTTCTGTTTTAATAATTATTTTTGTTAACTTAAAAATAATAGACTTGAATTGCTGAACATAATTCATAAAATCATAAGATGTATTTAATTAAGAATAGATAATTAACGAGAATTTAAATTTTTAGTAAAAATATAGGATTTGTATTAGTGTAAATAAATTCCTCTTAAGAACAATAAATACCCAATGAAGTATACTATAGAAATATAGTTTACTAATTTATAGCATTAAAGTTATAAGTAAATCCACTAAATTAGTAGAGGGAACTTTACATGCTATTTATTAATCCGTTTTTTCAATACTATAGTTAAGTCATTAAACAGATAATTAATAATACAATGTTCCAACAGAACCAGTGAACTTAAAATTATTAAAACAGATACATAAGTTTTGTTAATCTCCTTATCTTTCTTATTTTAAGCACAAATGATACGATGAGATACAAAATATTTTCAAATATATTTAATCAGAGTTTTGTTGCATTATTTTTTAATATTTGTATATTCTAATCATATTTGATTCTTTTCATATGAACTTAAGTGCTAGTTTTTCCTCAAATATATTCATTAGTTTGCTGTTCAAAGACTTTTATATATTATTTAATAACTAAAAATTAACAAAAAGAATGTA